CAGGGTATTCGTTGTTGCTTTATGTTGTGTTCGGTGCTGCGTTATGTCATACCCTGTTCCATCAAAGCGCGGCAGAATAATACATATATATATGATGTCCTCGTCTGTTATAATGCCTCTGCCAAGATCCGTCACAATGTGCGTTGTCATGCTCGGAACTGTTGCGGTTCTGCGTTATGTTAAGATATGCTGTGTCATTATGTGGAATGGTATGGAATGTTCTCTTATGCTATTTCATGGTGTGCTCGGTCCTGTGTTGCTCTGATGCTGTACTGGTATGTGGGATGTTATGCTACGATGTCATTTCATGCGAAAGTGTGCTGTCCCCTGTGTATGTCTGGTTCTGACATGGTGTGGAACGCTATGCGTTGAAACGTGATGGTGCTATCACACAGTCTGGTGTACTATGGTATGCAGTGGTTTGCCGCGCTTTGTCATGGTATGGTGGCTCATGCTATGGAATGCGATGTGAGTTGGTGCTGTGCTACGGCGTGGTATGATCGAACATGGTATGTTCAGTTATGATAGCTACCATGGCATGTGATGGTACGAATTATGGTATTATGGTGTGAAGTGTGGTGGTATCCCCGGTTCTGTGTGATCCAGTATGTCATTGATAATGATAATATGCTATGCTATGTTCTGCTACGGTGGAATATATTATGACGCGCCCTACCATGTTATGGTATACATGCTGTGCTGAGGTGCTACGTTGTGGTGTGTTCTGGCATGGTATGCTGTGGTAAAGCTATGGTCTGCCATGCTATGTGGTGCTCTGTTATGGTATGGTATGTGTGCTCTGGCACGCCATAGCATGCGTTGTTTGTTGCGGAACGGTGCTATGGTCTGGTACGCCATCTTGTGGGAGGCTGTGGCATCTTCTGTTTTGGTTTGTTCAGTTCTGAAGTCCGGTATGATGGTATGCTTGCTGTGCATGGAATGGCATGATGTGTGCTGCAATGCTGTGCTATGGTGCGCGCGTCTCTGTTATGCTGTGCTGTGTCGCGATACGCTCAGTCATGATATGGCAAGCTATTTCCAACCCTCCTGCGCTGGGTGCTCGTTTTGATGGAGCATTGCGCGCGCGTCTTCTCCGCCTCCCGCCTCCCTCCTCATCTCCTCTTCCTCCTTACCTCTCACATCGCTCTCTTCTGCGTGCAAGCTTGCCTCCGACCTGGCCATCCCTGGGGGGGTGCGATCTGCGAAACTGTCGCCGCTTTCGATGGTTCCAGGGGGGTCCAGCAGAGCGACGTGCTACCCAGACCCAGATGAGACCTCGCCATCATTGTGAGGTTGCGACCAGCGAAGCTGTCGCCATTTTCGAGGGTTGCTGGGGGCCCAGCGGAGTGACGTCTCACCCGAATTCAAATGAGACCTCGCCATCCCTCGGGGGGTGTTGACGTCTTACCCAGACTCAGATGCGACCTCGCCGTCCCTGTGGGGCTGCGATCTGCGAGACTGTCGCCACTTTCGACGGCTGCTGGGAGGGTCGAGCGGGGTGACGTCTTACCCAAATCCAGATGCGACCTCGCCATCCCTCGGCGGGGAGCGATCTGCGAAACCGCTTCTGTTTTTCGAAGGGCGCAGGGAGGGCCGCGCGGAGTGACGTCTTTCCCCCGACTCCCATGAACCTCGGTATCCCTGTGCGGCTGCGATTTTCCAAGCTGTCGCCATTTTCGAAGGCCTCTGGGGGGTGCACCGGAGTGACGTCTTACCCAGATTCAAATGCAAGTTCGCCATCCATGTGGGTATGGGATCTGCAAACCTGTCGCCACTTTCGACGGCTGCTGGGGGGGCTCAGCGGGGTGACGTCTTACCCAGATTCACATGAAACCTCGCCATCCCTGTGCGGCTGCGATCTACGAAACGGTCGCCATTTTCGGGAGCTGTTGGCGGGCACAGCGGATTGACGTCTTACCCAGACTCAGATGCGACCTCGCCGTCCCTGTGGGGCTGCGATCTGCGAAACGATCGCCACTTGCGAGCGGAGTGACGAAAGTGGGAAGGGAAGGTCAAGCGGAGTGACGTCTTACCCAAATGCAGATGCGACCTCGCCATCCCTCGGCGGGGAGCGATCTGCGAAACTGTCGTCATTTTCGAAGGCTGCTGAAAAGACCCAGCGGAATGACGTCGTACCCAAATTCGGATGCGACCTCGCCATCCCTGTGGGGCTGCGATCTGCGAAACGGTCGCCATTTTCGACGGCCGCTGGGGGCCCAGGGGTCTGACGTCTTACCCAGACTCAAATGAAACCTCGCCATCCCTGAGGCGCCGTGATCTGTGAAGCACTCGCAATTTCCGAAGCCTGCTGCGGGGTCCAGCGGAGTGACGTCTGGCGCGGACCACCAGGTGATCTCGTCATCTTGGGGGGTGCGATGTGCGAAACCGTCGCAAGGTTAGAGGGCTGTTGGGGGGGTCG